TTCTGTACTGAATAACATTATGGGGGGGGGGAGGGAGGGAGAGGGCGAAGAATTCCCGTGTATTGAATGCTGACTCACGCTGTATGAAAAAGGAAGATGGGAGGAGAATTCTGATTTGGCTTGCTACGGGTTAGCCAGCATCAGGTAGGTTCCTGACATCTGGGTACAGAAAGCTGCTAACGATCGCCGCAGCAACCAGCTGCTCCCAACAAGTGGAAAATATCCATTTACCAAGTGCTGCTACTGTGCAAGACGAGACTGTGAGAATGAACTGAAACAGTGAAGGGCATCGAATGGGAGAGAGGAATCGAGTGGTATCCATCCCTCAAGCTCTACGACGCAGAGATTGCACTTCAGTTACTTTGCTCACGTAAACTATTCTGTTGTAACAGACCCTCTTCTGCCATACATCATCTGCCATACCACCACCTAATCTTTCATGCTTTCTCCACCCCCAGGACAGGAGCAGACACGAGTCTGTTGTTGAGGCAAATTCCATTTTAAAAGGGAATTAGCTCCCCCAGTGCCACTTCTTTACTGTGGGTTGTTTGTCCCAGAACCCAGCTAATATCCCCACCTCATGAATATTCACCCCCAAACACTCTAATTAGTTAGCTAATAACTTCATTGTTTGTCGGACATTGCTGGCACAGATTAGCTGCCACATTTCCCTACATGGAGTGGAATACGGTTGCTTAGATGTTAGCGTGCTCACCTCACAAGCGAGAAGACCCAGGTTCAATTCACGGGTGGGGCGAAACCAAAAGCAAATTTCCTTACTCCATACGCCTCTATTTACCTGGCAGTAAGTAGGAATTTAGTTGTTAGTCGATTGGCGGATCATTTCCCAGGGGTATTAACCCCTCAAAGAAAAAAAATTGGTCATTCAATCGTCAACTGTTTGTGGGACACTGCTGAGCACGTATTGGCTGACGTGTTTTGCCCACAAAATGTACAGTCAATCCACTTTACAGCCTATTCCGTGAAGCGCTTTAAGACGTCCAATGACGCGATCAAGGAGCTATATCAAATGCAAGAATTATTATTATTACAAATTCTTTATTCACTTCATTTTTAATCAATCCAATCTTGTTAAACATTTTGAGACATTTCTTTCACACGTAAGGTACAGTATAAATGCAAGTTGGTTTTGGAGACCAGCAGTTGATGCGACTGAAAGGTAAACGAATAAATCAAAGGAGGGGAGGGGAGGGGAGGAGAAGCAGAAGGATGCTAGCATCGAGGGTCTGTTATATTGCCCCCGAAAGACACGGTCAATATTTCCCAAAAAGCAATCAGCGACTATTAAAGCCGCAACTGAGCACTTCAGCAGCTTCAGAACCCACTTATTCCAAACATTTTACCGATCCTAAACCCAGTCGAATCTATTGCATTCACGCCAGCTCCCAAATAGCCACTAAAAAAAATATCACAATAGATCCACCCTTTAGCTTTTGTTAACAACAATCTCTCAGCAACTATGGTTCTTGCTGAGCCGGTTGGTCTTTGGCAGCACCTTAGCCCGAGATGCTGCCATCAGTTTCCCAGTTGGCCCCGAGGGAGTGTCAGTGTGGATCGCGTTCTTCAGTCTCACACACTTTGTTCCAGCTCAACTCTCATGTTCAGCAGTCGGCTTCACTCAGTAGAGTCCCACACTGATGTTTCCTGTGGCAACTGCTCGCCTACTCGCTCACACTGTCTGTGTCCGCAGTTCTTGCTGCTATCAGTTTCACACCACAATATCGGAAGTGGTCTATGAAGCCGCTGATACCGCACTGCAGTGGTTACTTTGACAGACGTGTACTTTGCCTCGTGAGAGGTGACCAATACCAACTAACATTACGTGAGGGTTTTATTATTTCGAATATTTAAGACAAACCGACTGACATCTCTTTGAAAGATTTTTCACCAAAATTCTTAACCACCACCCACGCACAAAATAATCCCTATACTTTACAGTATTCCTGTGAAGCACTTTGAGATGTTCTCCCAATGTGAAAGGCGCTGTATCAAATACATGGATTATCATCAGCATTTATCCCCCCTTCCAAACCCAACATTAAATGCACTTAACCCCAACATTAACTCCCTTCCTCCCCCCCACCCCTTCACTTGGCCCCAACCGTAACCATTGGGCCAAAATGAATGGCTACAATCCAATTCACATCATATATTAGTCTGTCTCTCATAATTCAGAATAAATAGCAGGCAAGAATTGGGTGCTTCATAATTACATTAAGAATGCTACCAACATGTAAAAAGGTTTCTATGTCTTCTATCGCCATAGCTAATTAGTTTAGGTGATTTGCTATTAAAACAGGAGAATGTGAGAGCCAAAATTAGCTGCAAAACACACGCAGGTGGGCTGTGGCGTCGATGTTTCCATTTCTAACTCCACTGCACATTTGAGCTCTGCTCAAACACTCATTATTTATCTCAACAAATTCAATGCTCCGCTTCCTCAAAGCATTGTGCAACACATTTGACAGGAAAATCAAGAGTGTGGATAACTGCCAGCTGGCAGAGTATGTGCATGTGTGTGTGTTTGTGTGGGGAGGGGTAGAAGATGAGAGGTTTAGTAGACTGTGTAATATGTGAATATTCAGCAGACGAGCTGATTGGCATTAAGTTGCACAAGGACAATATCCACCTGAGTCACCAAGCGACAGGAACCGAAGTCACTGGGCTAACTTAGGATATTGTTATTGATGAGATTTAATTTAATGAGATGTAATGTTGTACCAACTCGACCATGTGATATTGTAATGCAAAAACTCAGTTCCTATTACTAATGATAGATCTTTACAACCTGTACCACAGCCTTGTGTTAACCAGCTTGTGTACTCTATCCAACACAGCCTATACCTATTGCTGGACTGTTGGATATTGTTTGAAAACATTACATTCTCAATAGTAATACAATAATGATCGCTGCATTTGATATAGAGCCTTATCATATTTTTGAGACATCTCACAGCTCTTCACAGCAAGTGGTATGTGTATTTCGTAGGCAAACGTGGCAGCCAATTTGCGCATAGCAATGTCCCACAAACAATACCATCTTTTACTGAAATTCTGGCGGCAACAAGCTTCATTTCTGCCTTAACTAGACAACTAGACTGGATCGATTTGCAAGGATTTGCCGGTAAGCAAATATGGTGGCTACGTCAGGTGATTTGGACCAAGAACGAATGGTAAGTTCTGTTAGGTTGGTAGTTACTGGCTGGGCCATCACTGTCAGGGCTTCGAGTATCTGGCAATTCGAGCACTGGTCACTGTCAGAGGCAGGAATTTGCCAGGTTGAAGTTCACACTGAAAGATCACATAGGAGCTGCTCAGCACAAAACAGCTGTGACACATTTTCGAACATATGTGCTAAAAATTCCACGACAGATTCCCTGCTACCACATGCTGACAAAGCATCAGCCAGGGCTGCCCGCAACACCCTCATTCATCCGAAAATAAACTCTCATTCCCGTGCACACAGTACTACACATAAATAGGAATGGTTGTAGTAGTAGTAGTAGTAGAAATGATGATCAAAATCCAGGGGTCATTCATTCAAAACACTTTCTAAAGACATCTAGTGGCAAATAAGCGTGAGAAGTAACTTCAAAACAAGCTGATAAACCTGGACTTAGCAAAAGAGCCAAATTCTGTGGATTTCTGGGCAGGAAGCAGAGTTCACAAATAGCTCAAGAAATAAGCAGTCAAAGTGTTTGACAGATTAGACTAGAATTTGAATATTTTAGTGTATGTATGGTGAATAAACTAGATGTGCTCTGGTTGCCCATGATTCACTCTGGAACCCATCATGCCGAATGAAAATAGGAACACCTACATTTTTGTCAGCCTTGAGGATTTTAATAGTTTCCACAGACATGTGTGACAGAAGAGGGGATTAAGCTCAATACATTGATCAGCAACAGGCCAGACATGGTGTGAAGCTCAGCTCCAAAGCACTGTTTAAATTAAATTGAAATGCGAAGCTGCAATTACAAAGATTATTCACAGCACATTTTATAGCATTACTCCAAATGTATTCATTCATTTAAAATGGGGGCAAAGCATAGCTGATTTCACAAAACCAAAAGCAAATCCAGCTATGTGTTTATATTAAAAAATAAGATTAGACCCTTCTGATCTGAGCAGTAATGTAGCATTATCACACTGCAGGTATTGTGAGAAGCACAAAGATCTTCAATAGGATTAGATTACAGAACCAAACCTTACAATATCCATGACTGTGCGGTGAGAGAGGACAAATTAATTATGCTTCCCTCATTCTCGTACATCTCCAAGTCGTACAAATACTGTAATTTGGTGGACAAATGGGGAGGAGATAGACAGGCAAATTCGGAAGGGACTTTGATGCAAAGCCTTGTAAAAGCTCCATAATCTTTTTCTCCTCTCCAAAACTGTGCTACATGAGAGGCTCAATTTGGATTTACACCTTAGTTCTTCTAAAGGAGTCAGCAGCAGAGACCAGTCATTGCAACAAGGCAAACACAGAGGGCAAACTCGGGAGAGATAGACAGGTTCAAAGTGATTCTGGTCAGATGAACTGAGATAGAGGATCTGCAAGTGAAAAAATTCAAAGAATAGGGAAGGCAACACCTAAGATAGATATGAACGTAAAGATTATTAGTTTATGTAAATCAAACAGGTTTCTACATTTTTCAATCCTCACACTCAAATGGCAGTAATTAATGAAGATGGAGGAAATTCTAATTGGTTCTGAGGCCAGTTTTGAACATAATTACACAGCGAAACGATCCCTGCTCTTCATGAATAACAAGCAACACAGCGTGTACCCCTCGTCCTGGTGAATAAACAGCAAGTCCACATCCAACGGTAGTGGATGCAATGCACAGCCACCTTGTTAAATCGGTGTAGGAATAGCACTGGCTAGAGATCCACACTCAGTGCAGCTGTAGTGCACAGTGCGAGTGACAAGCCAGTATCATGCATTTTACATTCAATTTCAGAACAACACCTACCTGACACAGTCATCCTGGCTGTTCTGCTGAGAATGGTTCCCAGACTATCAATGGTGGCAACGCACTGATAAAATCCCTCGTCAGGTTTGTGGTGCTTCGAATGCACCACATTTCGTATCAACAAGGAGCCTTCCGGCAGCACCTCACGGCGTTCATCAGACACCAGATTTAGGAAAGTTCCATCTTTTTTCCATTCGATTTTGACAGAGGGTTCAGTGAAGACTGAACAGTTCAGTATAACCGAGGAGCCTCGAATCGCAAGCGTGTCTGCTGGTTCTGCAGTGAAGTAGAAAGGGGTGAACGTCCTGACGACAGACTCTGTGGAGAGACGACAAAAATCACCATTACATTTAAAAGAACATTAACATTTCCGTAAAACAGCTGGCATGACAAACAGAGCAGATGCTGGCTCTGGTCATTGCTCTAGTGTGTTTTCTTTCTTTTAAAAAAAAATGAGATTGCTGAATAGGAAAATAGCACAGAGAGCGGAATGACATCTTTATCCACATCCCCTTGAACTGTAAAAAAAAACAGCCACACGACAGTTAGATTGTTAGTTCTCTACTCTGCATGTGCTGTGTTCCAGCTACATCCGAACCTGCCATATGGTGTGGTTTTGAGTTACGCAAATATCACCTCTCCTCACACCAGCAGACTTGACCTGCAAGCTTTACATGCTTTGGGGTTTCATACCAGTCGGAAAGAAACCATTTTACACAGGTGCATAATCACTCACTGCCGCATTTGTGGCAAGAAGTTCAGCTGAGATGGGGCTCCAGGTGTCTGCTCACAAACCATATACAGTGATTTTACCAGATCCCCCATACTTTCTCGATTGGCACCATCACTGAGGAGCTGTTCCGAGCTGGATTAGCTGACATTAAGAGCATCACCCACTTCCCATTTGCAAACCCAGTGCACTGATACCATGCTGCTTGCTTGTGCCATTTTGGCACAAGTTTTAACATAAAGCTTGCAGGTCAAGTTAGCTGGTGTGATGCCAGCAAATGGGTTAAACTCTTGTCCTAGAGCAAGCAGCTGAACACAAAGCAGCTCAAGAGTGAGGTGGCACTGAGCACAAGAAGCACGAAAGAAAGCACAAAAACAGAATTAAATCCTTGCGCCTTGATATTTCAGGCCCTCGTTGAAACTTGAGCTCTCATTCCAGTACTTAGAGAGCACTGCAATGTCAGAGATGTGTTTTTCAGATATAACATTAAACCAAGTGTCTGCTCAGGTGGACATTACAGATTTTCATGGCAGGGAGTCTTTCTATCGTCCAAATTCACAAAAAAAATCATATTAATCCCACTGTGATTGTTGGGACATTTTGGATAGATTAACTGCCACATTTGTCCATCACACAAGTGCACTAAAGTACAATAAAGAGCACTGCTATCACTGTTAGAATGGTGCCACTGACTGATTTTGCCACATAAACATTGCACTGGCTGCAAGTACCCTCAGAACATTAATCTCCTTCAGTTAATCCTATTTCCCATATTGCATACTCCTGTTATGGAGCTCTAGCCTGCTATCCCTGAGATTGCAAGCGGTTGTTAAGTACCTCATGCATACTCCTTCACAATAAGACATCAATACCCCTCCTGCCTTGATTACTCCAAAGCCCACATCATCGGTCTCCTCAGCTCCACCATTCACAAAATCTCGTTAATGTAAACCTCTGCTGCCTGTATCCTGACACACACACACCAAACTATGTAGCCCCATTACCCCAGTCTTTGCCAGGCTCCATTGGGTCTACCTTGCCTCCATCTTCCCAGTCTTCAGAGCACACCTAGGGTTATTTTCCCCGTACCCCTGGTTCCACCCCCGCCACTATTAAATGCTACAAGATGCTAACCCGCGAGAAGGGCGCAATATAAATGCAAGTGGTTGTTATTGTTTGACACTAGGACTGTTGTTGAACTAACTAAATGACTGTTGAATCTGGATGAGCATTAACTCCCTTTAGCTGAGTATCAATAAAACTGAAGCGATCCTGTTTGGCGTTCACCAGCAACTTCTTGCCTCTGGCCCCAATTGTATTAATCTGGAGTGTGCTGTTTGGAATTGGGACGCTGAACAAAAAGCGAGTGAGTGCTTTGTGGTGTCCTACTTAAACATGGAACTGGCAAGCTGGGCAAAAGATCAAGATTGTGGTTATATTATGGATGGAAGATGCATAATATAAAGGGTCCTCCACACGAGAATCATGGTGAAGCAGCAGAGTACTGGCTGCTCACAAGCTTCCTTAGAAGCTGTAGCATTACTGGGTGCAGCCTGATGCTGATTTGGTCAGAAAATCGCACACGAAAGAAGTGATGGACAGTACTGGCAGAATCTATTGAAGGTTGTCAGGAATGCTCCGAGAAGCACGTCACTCTCTGATCGGGGTAATGTGAGCATGGGCAGCTCTTATTGGAAACTGGAGCTCTTTGTTCTGTCAGTCAAAGCTTGGAGATATTGTTTAGCCTTGGAAGGTTCTTGGCTTGCTTACCATCGCCTCCAAGCCATTTAATAACCAGCATTTCAAAAGCGATACTGCTGCAAATTAACTTTAAAAGAGGAAGCCTACTCATCATGTTCTTAAATCCTTTCACTTAATGTCTGCTCCTGCTGATTTCAAAACCAAAAAGGATTCTAATCATACAACATCTCATCATCTGTCTTGGGACAGTTGCTGAGCAACAATGCAAGTGAGCTGGATTATCAGTAGACAGCCAGTAAAACTGGGTGCTGGCCAGGAGCAGTTACTGAGCCCGAGAGTGCAAAGAAAATGGAGTAATGTCAGAATTGATATGGTCGGTAACATGGTGGTGTTGGGAGGATTAACTGAACCAAACATTGCAGGCGGGCGGGTGGTGGGGGGGGCGGTGAGGGCACAGAATATTGTCAGAGTTATTGTCAGTAACAGAGGGTGCTGCCTGGGGGAAGTCACCAAACCTGGGTGGGAGTACAAGGCAGATGAATAAACATCAGTAAAAATGCACTGAGTTATTTTCCACTTAGCAATAATTTTAATGCTTACAACAACTTGCAATTATATAGCGCCCTTTACGTGGGGTAGCGTCTCGTAACACTTAATAGTGCCGGAGCTTGACACCAAGCCAGGGAAAGGGAGGAGATGGCTCTTGGCAACCTTGTCAGGTTGAACCTGGCAAGGACTCGGGTGATGGGGGTACTGTGTTTGGTGCAGGCGAGTGTACGGGTGGCAGAGTTTGATTTAATAGGAATTTGTGGAAAGTGGAGCTAAGGTGACCAGCCAGGATGGCATTGGAATAATCGAGACGGTAGGTGACGAAAGTGTGGATGCAGGTAGAAACAGAAGGGTACAACTACAACAACTTAAATTTACAGAGGGTCCTTCACATAGGATTATATCTCGGAAGTACATTAGAGAAGTTGGATGCTGAGCAAGAAGCGGGAGGAAGAAGCGATGCGGTCAAAGAAGTAGATTTTCAGGTAGGATTTAAAGATGAAGAGGGGGTGAGGCAGAGGGATAGAGGCAGAGAGTTTATGAGGTTAGCATGTGCAAGTGCGATCAAGACAAGAGAGAGAGCGCACACGAGCACGACCGAGAGACAGCAAGCGTGTGAGGATGAGCACGCACGAGCAACCGAGAGATAGCGCGTGCATGCATGTGGGGTCGAGAGAGAAAACGCAACCGAGGGATAGAGAGTGTGGGCAAGTGGGAATGAGAAAGAGTGTGATCAAGCGAGAGTGCGAGAGAGAGAGAGAGACTGAGAGAGAGCACGAGACTGACAGGAGCATGACCAAGAGGCAAAACACAGAGAGAAAGACAAAGACAGAGAGAGAGAGGCAGAGAAAGAAAGAGACAAAGATAAGACAGGGAGAGAGAGATACACACACACACACACACACACAAAGAGAGAACAACATACACAAAGACCGAGAGACAGGCAGAAAGAGTGCGCAAAAAAATCTTGCATTATACAGTTTTGCACTGAGAGACTAAGTAAGAGAACAAGACCCTAAACTGGACTGCCTCTTGCACTGTCAGACAGAGAGAGAACACAGAGCCCTGTGTTCCATAATAAGGATAGATGTTGCACAGAGAGAGCGTGAAAGGAACCCTGTACAATATTGTCACTGAGATCTCGAGAACACAGGACGTTGCATTATACTGCAGAAAAAGGCACATTTAAATATGAGTATAGTTTACCCAGCAAGAGACTATTACACCATCTATACAGGCAACTAGCAGGGGGCCTCAGATAGACTGTAGTATAATAATCCTTGCCTTTGTTATGGCACCTATAATGAAGAAACAACTAAGTGTTTCACAGGAAAATTGTTCTCAAGTGTGGCAATTATTTACAAGTAAATTAGTTGCCATTTTGCATACAGCAAAGCCCCTTTTTCTTTTATTTCAGAATCTAGACCAGGGTAACTGCAGCAGGTGCCTTTCGATAGATTGAAACCAAGTAATCATGTTCCATCTCAATCTACTTCTCTAAGCATCAGATCAACAGACGGATACTACATTAACCTCCCACCAAGCCAGCCCCTAGTGTAAACTCCTGCACATATGCTGTGTATAGAGCTACATTTCCAAGAGGAGAACAATAAATATCCATAATATTAACGGTAATTTAATCACTGTTATACCCCTCTGACCCAGGTTAGAATGGATCGGAATTGCACCCAGTGCTGTATACCTGCAGCATCATAGATAAAGAATAAAGCACTGAAATATAATTCCCATCACGTTTGATCACCAGTTTAATGTTTATTGTTAAACCTTACATCCAGCTATCACCCATCCCACAGAATACATGTGTCTGTCAGCGAGGTTCACCCCAGCACACAAGCAAAGTTGTGAATACGTGGGACAAATTCCTATCATATTCTAACATGATATCCAATAAATGCTGTAAAAAGAAATTCAGCGATGTGTCCAATCACGAGCATAAAATATTTGCGCTTTTATTTCACCTACAACATCAAAACATCTCAAAATGAACACACAAATTAACTGTCGTGTATAGTGACTGTATTTTTGGCAAACACAGCAGCTATGTTGCTTACAGCAAGATCCCACAACCATCCCTGCATGAATGAGCAATTAATCTTGAAGATTTTTGGCCAAGAAACCATGAGAATCTAATTTCTCTTCCCAATTGTGTCATGAAATTTTTTATGTCTACCTGAAGGACAGCAGAGGGGATTTTGATTTATGGCATCTCCAACCAGATTATCCTCCCCAGCCCCCACCCCCCATAAAAAAGCACTGTACTGTTAGACTTGACTTTGAACTCAAGTCTCAACGTAGGGCTTAATCTTCCAACCTTCTG